TGCACAAAAAGGCTTCGGGGAAGAGACCGATCGTGAGACTGCTGGACCGATTGGAGCATACAAATTAAGATGGAAACGTCTTCTCGATTGGCCATCCAAATTTCGAGAGCAGTGTTTATGATAATATGCTTGAGATGCCTCTTGTAATGCCACTCACTGTTGCTGAGAGACCGGAAGATGAGAAGACGGCGAAGAAATTAACTTGCCCGACGTCCTCTTACATGGTTGCCATACTCATTTCAAGTGTCATACAGCTGGCTCGGTACGTTTTCAGGCATTTTACTGGTATCATCTTTAGGTCTTTCCAATCTTGGCCTCAAGATACAGTTCGTTGAACAGACAAATAAGGTCCATCTCTTGACCAACTTACTGCTTGATGATTGTTGCATAACTCCTTTTGCTGTTCTGAGGCTCCATCCATAGCACATCTTAGAACTTCACACACTCTCTGGCAGCAGATGGTGAACATTGTGTGTTCTTTAGGGTCAAGTTGAGAGAGCGGAGTGAAAATGAATCACTTCATTGAAGGTTCCAAGATGTCAGCACTGCAGAATGCTTCGAGGATTACCAATCACTTTTGCAGCGCGAGCCCCTTCTGGCCAAATTGCAGTTAACTTGACAAAAAAATGAACTTTCCCAGACAGCTGCAGACATACAAGTGGCTTGTGTGAGAAAAACGAATTATGGTGGAGCGAAATCCCACTCATGAAGGATGCCCATTTTCTGATAAAATTATAAGCATAAGTTGAAAGTTGAGTAGCTTAAAAGTTGTCGGGAAAGCTAATTTAAAGTTTGTTAATGAAGAATACGAGCATGAAGGGAAGCAGATTCTTACAATGCATGCTTTTGAGATGACTTTTCACCGAGATTTGTGCAAAAATGTCTAATTCACACTTAAAACGAGATTCCTCAATCGCTCCTACGTTAGTGATTCGTATTAAGCGAGCTGTATTATGCAAAAGGAGGTCAAGCATGTCCAACAATCCTTTCGCTTTTCGTTACGCAAATTGGGCACGGCACTGCATCATGAGTTAAACAATCAGACTATAAATTATCATTATGCGCCGATTTTGTATGTTTCTATAGTAACTGATAGCGAGTATGGTTCAGAGGAATTGAAGAAAAGGTTAGATATGGTCTCAAAATTAACCGCGTCCTACCGCCCGCGAGCCTAGGCACACGTTCCACCCTAGTTTCGACCTCTGAACAGAACCCAAAGTGTGGATGTCCGAGATAACTGGCAGACAGAATATCGTCTGCAAGAAAAGTGAGACTTTAATCAAGGTCTACTGATAGTCTCGAAACCTACTTACTTGAGAATTATTAGCGTGATTATTTATAATTGTAAAATATAAATTTTCCTCAACGACGATCTCAGTATAAACTTAATATGAAAAATGCCTGCCATTCCTTGAAAGTAGGGTCTGTCTTGGAGTTCGTTGGCACCGTAGACATTGTGGCAAGGTGTAGCTATGTTTCAGTCCACCTTGGATGCGAAAACCTTTTGAGAGACAAGGTTAAGTGTATGCGAATAAAATTGGGTTTCGAACAATCCCTTTGTTTATGCTTATTGTATGAGGTATGTTGAAGCATTGGTAGTTGAATTTTTCCACGATGATATGAGTAGATCTGACGTTTACATTGAATTCCACATTGCCTTGCTTTCCCAAAAGTTCTTTCCATACAGACAGAAGTGGACTGCAGTTTCGACTTCGCATAGGTCTTATCGAAAACCCCAGCGAGAGTCGAACCGTGACAGTACAGCATGTGAGCTTGAAATGTTAACCACTCGGCCACATTACCATGATACCCTTGAGTCAGAGGACAGATGTGCATTTCAAGCAAGGCCAGGCCTTTTCCCTATCACATTCTTTGGTGGGATTGTCAATGAATAAAACGTATTCTTGCTATAGCAATAGATTACATTACTTATTTTTCGTACGTAAGCCTATAGTGAAGGATCCGAAAGAGAGACTTAAGACTAGGCTAAGGGATACTCTGAAGGTATGTGTGATAGTGGGGAAATGAAGAAGCGGAAAATGAATTCCCTACTTCGAAGAAATGATGGGGAATCCTCAACTTATGGCTTTACGAATGTATATAAGAAGGGGATTATCTTTGAATTGACCGTAAACAATAAGGTTAAGTAATATATGGGATGTATTCAACGTCAGTTCTGCTCATATAAATGTGAAAAAATTCAAGCAACGGTCTTTCATCACCTTAAACGAAATAGTATGAATACATTTCATATAACTCTACTTATAAACGAAAAATATGGTAGTTGTAGGCATTAAATCTCGCAACTTTTACACAGACAATTAGGAAAAGTGACCGAATTTTAACTATTTTCAGTAAAAATCTGTTACAAAGTTGTCTAATTGTTGGTCTAGCAGAGAAATTTGAAGAAAAAAAAACAATTAATTTTTGATGTGGCATCGATTTTTTCCAGAAATATTTCAGTCCGCCCAGGCAGTTAGACTCTGATGCCGATCAGATAATATTAAATGAATTTAATTGAGTATAGCATAATACTACTTACAATCTCTATGAGTAGTAAATATTTTACCTTTGACGGTAAGTTTTATTAACAGAGGCACCGACTTACCATGGGTATGTCTAACTAAATGCAAAGGTTGAGGAGCGTTTAATACAAAAGGTAATTCCAATTCCTAACTTGTTTGTTAGATATTTGAATAATTATTTTGTCAGTTGTCAGCATAGCAAGGATAGTTTGGATAATCGAAGGTATGCAAACGAAGATGGTATGGTCACCGTCTATTTTGGTTGGATAGAAGTTTTTTGACCCTATTTCCGCAGCTTGGTCATGTACTGGCAGGAAGAACTTGAGGAACTCACCTAGTCCGGAGTCCATAATATGCATCATAATTTCCAGAGTCGGACCATGGACGTGGAACATTCCCAGACTTCCAAGACTTGTCAATCTTAGCAGAACACTAAAACCCGTCAAAGAGACGAGTGAAATCGATCCTCTGACCATTTGTGGTATCTTTCATTCTGTCCAGGAGTACTCACTTATCCTATATCTCCGTATCACACCTTCAATATCACACTTTCGTACTTGCTTACCTAAACCTATTTTAGTTGTGCCTTTTTGGCCGGATTTAATGAGACCTATTCACACTCTCCACTGGTTCTTTCATACCTCCCACTATAGTTTGGATAGTTTTCTTCTTTCGTTTTACCAGAATGAAAGAAATATTAAGTGCACAATGAAGCTAAAATAGGAAAAATGGTTACGTCTTTGGTGTTATGGTTATTAGGGAAGATGGTAAGTTGTACATAGATGCTACTAAGAAACTCGCATATACATGTTTTGTTCTTAATTTACTTTCTAAAAATAGTTACAAAACTAAGGTGGGAATTTCAAACTTTATGAATATTAGGAGAACGAGGCTCGCAAACCGAAAGCTTCTGAATGTAGAGTTAAGAAGTCCGAAACATCTATTCTTTGAAAATATCTATGTTTTGGGCTTAATTATTAATAATATATCTTTAAGGAAGATTGAGTTTTCAGTCTAAGATATTTTGGTCAGAGACGGGAAGCTGAAAATATTTCTTGTGCCCCAATATTGCCTGTACGGCTTCTTTCTGAGAGAGTAGGCAAACTAAGGAGGTTATTAAGTAAAAAAACTGCTTTCTAAAAAATCTGGCAATTTATTCGGTTATGCCTTGTTTTAGAGACAAAAATGACCCATTTCTAATTGCTAACACGCGCACACGCCGATATAGATACAGACACGCTTGAGTATAAGTGAACTAACCTAACCATTCTGTATCCATTTATTTGCGTGCTCAGTCCGTTTTCAGCCGAAAGGTGAGAGGATGTATTTGGGAATTTGGCTGTAGAAAAGCAAAACGGATGCATTATAACGGAAATCAGCCGTTCGACCCGCAAACATTTCATCATACACCTTCACACGAACTGAAAGTCCCCACAACACTAGAAGGAGTTTTCTCAACTTGGGCATATTGCCAGAGACCTGAATAAACCCACCTTGTCCGGAGTCCTACCACATAGTAGGCATGATAATTTACAGCTTCAAACCGTGGACTTGGTACATTTCCAGACATTGCACCGACCTTCCCAGTCCTAGCAACACACCATACTTCGTCGAAGAGACAATAGAAATCCAGCTCTACACCACATGTGCCAGGGCAGAAGAATGAAATTGGTCAAGCAATGGATTTCACTTGTCTCTGACAATTTTGATCGTACCGCTAAGACTGGCAAGGCCTACTGATAGTGCGGATTACGAGTCCAGCGAAACATCACAGAATGTACCTGGTCCATTGTCGTGCGCTAGAGGATTCCGAACAAGGTGTGTGTTATCGAGATCACCTCGAACCAACTACGATCAACTTGCCAAAATGCGGTAAAATCACGTCTACACCGAGGTCTATAGCTCGAGTCTGTAGGCACCCACATCGGAGAGGTTCTGCTTCTCGTAGTACTTGAGCCACTGCTTGAAGCCGTTCTGTCTCGTGATGTTGCTGCCAGCCGAGGTGTTCTCGTTGTTATGGCGCATCATCTGAAAGGCCTGGTTGATTAGCCGCAGCCAGTAGAGCTGCCACTCTTGTCCGTTCCATTGGGTGATCGAG